GGAAGTAAAGTTATTATTCTTCATCGAAGAGATGCTTTTAGGGCAAGTAAAACTATGCAAGAACGAGTATTAAATCATCCAAAGATTGAAGTAATATGGAATTCTGAATTAGTAGAATTAGAAGGAGATGGTGATTTATTAAATGGGGCAAAAATTCATAATCTAGTTTCAGGAGAATACAAAGTTGTTCCAGTAGCTGGATTGTTTTATGCTATTGGACATAGTCCAAATAGTAAATTCTTAGGTGGACAAGTTAAAACTGCTGATGATGGATATATTCTTACAGAAGGACCAAAAACTAGTGTTGATGGTGTATTTGCATGTGGGGATGTATGTGATAGAGTATATAGACAAGCTATTGTAGCTGCAGGAAGTGGTTGTATGGCAGCCTTAAGCTGTGAAAAATGGCTTCAAACTCATTAATTCAGTTTCTTTTTTAACAGTTTTCGTTGAAATTATTGTTTCATTAACCAAATAAATAAGTAATAGTTAATGAATCAATTACGTTAAATGAATGTTGGTATGTTTTACATCACTCTGAAGAGTGAAATGACAGCTGAACCTACAACAACAAATAAGAATATAGCTAAAACTACTGGTCCAACTGCTGCTTTTTCTTCTTTCTTAGCTGGTTTAACTCCTGACACGAATTTTTTATTTTGGGCATTTAAATGAGCTTGGGCTCCTGACATGAAATTGATTCAGTAATGAGATTTTAAAGATTGTTTTCTTCTTTTCTATTTGGTGAGGAATTTTTTCTTTTTTCTTTTTTCTTTTTTTGTGTTTTATTTTTATTTTTATTCTTGTCTTTTTTTAAGTCTTAGATTATAAAAATATTATATAAATATATACTTTGAAAGGTTCTAACTCCTTTAAAATACAATATCTTGATATTGAAATAAATAATTTTTAATTATAAAGATATATACTGTTTCATGTGGTTATTTTAAAGATATTATAATATAAAAATTTAAAGAGAGTAGATAGTTATAATAACATATGTTATAAGAGGGGTTAAATAAATTCTAAATTAGTAATTAAGTTATTTAATATTACTTTTTTATTTTTGAAAGGTATTGATTATTATGGAGTAATACACTTATGTTATAATTATAAAAGTTATTTCTTCTGGGTTTATTGAATATTAATTAATAATGTTTTAAATACACTAATAAACTTTTATTATGTACTTAATTAGCTCTAAATCAATATATTTTGATTAACAAATATATTAATCATTATAATAATAAAGGAAATAACTGTTTAAATGAATAAGATTAACTTATGTGTATTATTTAAATTATAATTAACGAAATAAAAAAAATAATCAAAGTTGAATATAAATAGAATTTATTTTATTTTTATAGTAAAACACTATTTTTATTATTTATTCTACTTATATGTTATTTTGAACAGTTACATAGTAGATTTTATAATAGGAAATGGTTTAATATTATGAATGATTAGATCTTTATTATTTAGTCAAATGGAAGAATTTTTTCAAAGGTATAATTTTAATTTTATACAGATTAATTAAAAGAAATAAAAAATAACAAAAATATTGTGAAGATTAGAATTTATTTATCATGAAACATAGTATATCCACTTCCTTGTTCTTTTGTTTCTTTCTTAAGCTTATCATCTTTTGTTTTAGAAAAGACTTGAATAAGTTCATAGTTTTGAGGATTAACATACCTGCCTAAGAAAGACTTAAGAATATTTGGAGTGATAGCGAGAATAATAGCCAATAAGCTAGATAAGTAGAAGTATGGCATTTGTAATGCCCTCCATAATGAAAAATAACTCATATTTTCTCTGGTTGCCCCACTGAATGAAGCCAAGAAGAAATAAGTGAAGAAGAAAGATCCCACTGAAACAAAAAATCCAAAAATGATTAATCCATTCCACCTTTTAACAGTAGTAGCAAATGTAGCAACAACACCTAATGTAGTATAAGTTGTTACAATAGCACTTGCTCCAACCATTCCTGAAGTTTTTCCATTCAATGTCATAACATCGTTAGAAGTAAATATAATCATTAAATAGAAATAAATCATTGATTGGTATGTTCCATATATAAACCATCCAATATAAGATAATAAATTACCTCTTTTAGTTCTAATTAATTCTCTATTCACTTGTGGATGTTCTTTAATTTCTTTCCACGATAAATCAGAATCAAAGAAAGAAATAAATACAGGAGGAATTGAAGTAAATATGAAATTATACAATGCCATCATATAATCATCATATAATCTCTGTGATGTAAACATACAAATACATGCAAACCATAAAAGATGTAAGAAGAAAGCAGCATTTTTGAAAAAGATTAATTTGATTAATGATGTATTTCTATATAATGACATTCTTCCATGATAAAGAATTAATTTTCCTAAATGTTTAAATCTATAAATTGAATAATCAGCAGAACGTGCTGCTTGACTTCCTTCTTTTCCATATATTCCAACTCCAACACTAGCTGCATTAATCATAGGAATATCATTTGCTCCATCACCTACAGCTAAACATTTCTTTTTGGTTATTTGTCGAACATGTCTTGCAATTTTAGCTTTTTGTAATGGCATTGACCTACAACACATTACAACCTCTATATTCATAGCAACTTCTTTAAATATTTTTTTACATTCTTCAACGCATATATCAATAGAATGAGCAGTGATAATTAATGCATGCTTATTATTTTTTTCATTACTTAATTTTGTTTGAGCTTCTTCAAGCATTTTATTACATTCTTCTTTATCTTTACCATTAACATAAATTAATTCACATCCATTGAGTAATCCACATGCTCTACCAACAGCAATTCCAGTTTCCTCTTTATCTCCTGTAATAACCCATATTTTAATTCCTGCTTCATTTAGCATTTGGAGTGTTTCAGGAACACCTTCTTGAAGTTCATCTTGAACACCTGAACATCCTAAAACATTAAGGTCTTTCTCCATTATTGAAATAGCTTTTTTAATTGCATCCTCTCTTCCTTCTAATTTACCTTGTGCTTCTTCCCAAGTTTTATTCCATACTTCATAAAATTCTTTAGTAATTTCTCTTTTACATAATACTAATGTTCTTAGACCTTGTTCAGCTAATGGCTTAACATCACAAAATTCACCTGAAGCACATAATCCATTAATTACATGATCTGCCCCTTTTGTAAATAAAACAATTCTTTCTCCAATTTTAACTAATACACTTGAACGAGCCCTTTCTGAACTAAAAGGAAATACAGCTAAAATATTTACGACTTCTTCATTTGGGTGTTTAATTTTTAATGATGATTGAAGTCTTTGAGTAAATTTTACTCCATTTATTTCTGCAGCACGTAATAAAGCCTCTTCATCGGGAGATGGAGATTTATATTTTTCATTGACAACAGTAGCATTATGGCACAACGCCATACAATAAATAAAGTCAAGAATTTTATTACTATCTATTTGTTCATTCTTAGGAGTTCCAATTCCATTATCAATTAATCCACAAGCAACACCAAGTTGGTTTTCTTTAAATGTTTGTCCATCTATAATACATTCTACAAAATTCATTTCATTTTCTGTTAATGTTCCAGTTTTGTCAGTTAAAATATATTCAATAAATCCTAATTCATCATTCATTGCTGTACACCTAACAACAATTCCTTTTTCTCCTTCATTTGTTTGATATTTAAATTCACTATCCCATTTCATAAATAATGATTGAAGTGTTTTTGCAATCTCTAAACATACTGCACATGCAATAGGAATAAGATATGAAGACAATGTGAAATAACTGAAAAATTCTTTAACACTTAAATGAGTTGAACGTTCTGGTAAATCTAAATACCAATGGTCTTGATGGGTATAAAACATAATTGTTGCCATAACACTACAAAACACAGATATTCCAAGAACAACTAAGAAAACAACAGCAACAAATGAATTCATTTGTTTATCAGTCCCAGATAATCTCATTCTTCTTTTTTCTCTATTTAATGCTAATTTTGTAAAGTCTCCAGTATAAACAACAGAACATAATAAATCATTTGAACGTAAAACTGATCCTTGAAACATTAATGCAGAAGCATCACATCCAATTTTATCTTCATTTACTTTAACAACAGCCCTAAAACTATCAAACCGTGGATTTGGTGCATCACAGGTAATAGTCACTGATGACTCAAAAAGATGTTCTTGTGATATTTGAAGTAATCTTCTTGGAACAAAAACTTCTTTTGGTGTTACTTCACCATCAATCTCAGCTGTTTGAATAAGAATTGGATCAAGTGAATCAGTGTGTAAAGGAATAAGATCGGCTGGACATCGTTGACCTTGTTTTAATAAAATACAATCCCCAGGAAGTAATTGACTTGATTTAACTTCTTTTTGTATTTCTCTATTAACTAATGTATATTTAACTAAGTCTGCTTTAATGTCATCAATATATCTTCTAATATCTTCACGTAATTCTCTAAACATCGCTGAAAACATTATGATAGCTAAAGGAACTGAATAAGTAATAGGAGTAACTGCAGATACTTGTGGAATACAAGTCAGTATTGTATTAACAATAAAGAATATATTTGAAAACCTCATCAACTGTTCTAACATAAATTTAAATGGAAATGAATAAAAAGTATATTTTGTTGTGTGAACATTATTCTTACAGAATGCTTTATGAGAATTAACAGAATGATTAAAAACTTCAATAACAGGATATGTCTCTTTCGGTTTATGACTAATATAACATCCCATTAGTTTTGATTAATCAATTATGAGATGCAAAGTAGTCGTGTTTTTTTTTCGTTTCTTTAACAAAAAGGGTTTTTCCTTTTTTATTTTTTTATTAAATTCTTTTTTTGACACAAAATACACAACAATTTTTATGGATTTTATTATTTAAAAATATAAACCGTTATGAATGAATCAAAGAAATTATTTTTCAACAACTAGATTCAGAAAATTGAATATAGAAATTAGCTATATAAATATGTAAAGAAAAGAAATAATACGAATAAATGGTTTAAAATAAATAAAAAATATAATAACCATAAAGATAAAAAAAAATTCCATAAAAATAAAAAAAATAACAGAAAAAGGATGAGAGAAATAAAAATAAAGGAATTAATTAAGTATTAATAGAACTAACTTCTGTTGTTCCTTCATTGGATGGGAATAACCCCATCCATGACTCATCTTCTAGCAGCTCTACAGAGTATGTTTGGTTGTGATAGAAGCAGTATTCCATGACATTAATCATGTTTTGTATTACATAGTTTTTAACTTCTTTAATGAGGTCAATTTCAATTTTTAATTCTTTAATTAATCTATTGCTTTATTTGTTTATTATTCTATTAATTGAAATTACTACTGGAATTATTTTGACATCTTTTATTTTCTCTATTTTCATTAGCGTATTCTTTAATTAATTGT